TGCTATTGACTTCTGTGGGACGGATGGCAGACATTTATTCCGTGTGGTCTGGCACGACTCGTCGCTGTAGGATGCAGGAATGTCCCCCTCAGGAGCAGGGCTGTCTGCTCCAAGGGCCCCTCCCAGGAAAAAACGAGAGAAAACAGAAATATAATGACTCAGTTTACATCCCAGCACTCCAGAGTGGGTTGAGCACAGTCCTTCCTGTGAGATTTCATGGATGTTTTGGTTTTCCGGGGCAAAAACAGATGCAAAGACACGGAGTCACGGAATGGTTTGGGTTGGAAGGGACTTGGTCCATCTTGTTCCAACCCCCTGCCATGGGCAGGGACACCTTCCATTAGCCCAGGTTGCTCCAAGCCCTGTCTAATCTGGCCTGGAACACTTACAGGGATGGGGCAGCCACAGCTTCTCTGGGCAACCTGTGCCAGGGCCTCAGCACCCTCATAGGGAAGAATTCCTTCCCAATATCCAATCTAACCCTGCCCTCTGGCAGTGGGAAGCCATCCCCCCTTGTCCTGTCCCTCCAACCTCTTTGCCAGCTCTCTTGGAGCCCCTTTAGGCACTGGGAAGGTGCCCCTGGAGGGAACAGCCCCATCCACCAGCAAGTGTCCTGGTTTGTACTGGGCAAAGCATCACCAGAGGTCAAGAGAGGTGATCCTGCCCCTCTGCTCGGTGCTGGTGAGGCCACACCTGGAGTACTGGGTCCAGTTCTGGGCTCCCCAGGGCAAGAGAGACATGGACAGACTGGAGAGAGTCCTCAAGGATGATGAAGGTCCGGGAACAGCCCTCCTATGAGGAAAGGCTGGGATTGTTCATCCTGGAGAAGAGAAGGCTCTGGGGGTCTTACTAAGTACATAAATACCTGGTGGGAGGCAGGGAAGGAGATGGACAGAGGTGCCCAGTGGCAGGACCAGAGGCCATGGACACAACCTGGAACACGGGAGGTTCCCTCTGAACATCAGGAAACACTTTTTTACCGTGAGGGTGACTGAGCACTGGCACAGGTTGCCCAGAAAGGTTGAGGAGTCTCTATCAAAGTTACTCAAAATCCAACTGGACACGGTCCTGGACAACATCTGGAGCAGGGAGTTAGGACCAGGTGACCTCCAGAGGTCCCTTCCAATCTCAACCAGTCTGTGATTCTGTGGAAAGAGCAGCTCTGCCCTGTGGGGCCCAGAGAGGTCCCTCAGGGGTTGTGCCACCGACTCCTTGAGCTGAAAACATCCAAGATGGTCATTCCTGTGCCTTGCCTTCCAGTACCACATCAACAAGCTGTCCATCATGTCCTCGGAAAACCACCTGAACAACAGCGACAAGGACGTGGATGAGGTGGATGCTGCGCTCTCGGACCTGGAAATTACCTTGGAAGGTGGCAAGACATCCACCATCCTGGTAAGGGTTACAGGCACACCATGTGTGTCCCCTCCTTCCCTCCTGGGAATCTTTCCAGGCTTCCAACCTTTTTTATTTCCTTCCTCTCCCTTTTTTTTTTTTCTATTTCTCTATGAGAAAGTTGCCCCCAGCCCAGTGAAGTGACACAAAACATAGACCTCCAATAATATTTACTTTAAAATAGGGGATTTTTTTAGATACTGAGGGATAGTTCTGGGGCAGGGAACCACAGAAAGTGTCTGGAGAAGTCCTGGAGGAACCAGAATCTTACTGAATCCTCGCTACAGCAAGCCACCTTCCTGATGAAATAATGGAAAACTAAATTTAAATGGATGTGATTTCTGTCCTCACTACTGACTTTCCCAAATACTGAGTTCTCCACGCTGAGGTTTCTCTTCCTCTGTTTCTAATTCATGTTTTACAGCACCTAAAACGGCTGCTGTGATTTTCAGAACTAATTTATGCTTATGAAACCTTACTTTTATTGCACTGGATTTTAGCCTATGTCTCTATTTCAGAGGATTTGGGGGGGGGGTTCAAATATGCTGTTTTAACGCTCGTTTTCCACCTTTAAAAATGTAAGGGTTTAAAATTAAAATGCATTAAAAGGGCTCAGTCCTGTCAGTCTTGGCCCAGCACAGCTTTTCCAGGCTTTCTGCACATTTATACCATCTCTAAATTTCATTTTAAGTTCTTTCCAACCCTAAAATCCCTGAAATTTTCCGGTTTTACACTTCATATAATTTTTTTTCAAGTGTTTATGAAGGGTCTTTTTGAAGTTACATCCATTCTTAGATGCTGTATTGGCATTAACAACAGCAGAGCTTTGCAATATAAAGCAGTGGCTGCGACAGAAACGACGACAAATTTTTATCACCGAGACATATTTTCTAATTTCTTCTCAAAACCAGATTTGGAACACACCACTAAGGAACAAACCCTGCCAGATAAGAGCGCAGAGGACAATGATTCATCCAAAAAAACCCCCATCCCTTTCCGCGGGGCTTGCAACCAGGAGCCATTTCCAGATGCATTCGAGTAATTGAATACGGATAATGGGCAATTACTGGATTGTTTGTTTAGATTCTGCTTTTTTTTTTTTCCCTGTGGTATCTATAAACAGTTCACTGCAGACTGAAAGTAAACTGTCCTGCTACTGGAAGCTGCTGGAGCAATCCTTCCTTTTTCTATCCCTCGAAAACCCTTGAGTTTCAGCTCCCGGGAGTTCCAAGTGCCTCCCTGTACATTTTCCTCATGCAAAAAGGGAATTTAAACTCAATATCTAAAGATCCAGTGGGGGAGGGGAAAGTCTTTCTAGACACAGAGATCCCTTCTCCAGTCAGTTTTCTGTGGAGGTGCATCTTTTCCTTTTCTTTGGAGCATAGGGAAGTAACTGAAGGAGGAGAAAAATCCCCGTGCGAACACGAGCCGCTGTGACCGCCCGTGACCTCGCGGGTGGGAATTGGCTCCAGCAACAGCAGGAATTCCTCAAAGGAAAATAAAACCTTGTCCTCTGCTTTCCAAACAGGCTGTGCCATAGATTTTTTTCACCGCTTGATTCTCCCAGGAAGCGGCTCTGAGGCTTTCTCAGGAGCAGTTTTAGTGACCCCTGAGCTGCGATGTTGCCCCCTGGCTTCCTCCCCTGCACCACATCCCTTCCCTCCCGGATCCACCGTCCCGGCTCCGCTGGGGCAGGCGGGTGAATGGGATAATCTTTGATTTTCAGGGTGACATCACTTCCATCCCGGAGCTCGCCGACTACATTAAAGTCTTCAAGTAAGTGCTGATGGGAAGAGCTGCTCGTGAAACTGGTAATGGCAATGAATAATTAATGGTCCTACCTCTTAACATCCTTTTTTTTTTTTTTTTTTCATCTCCTGGCCATAAGATATTCAAAATATTCAATACTTGAAGTTGATTAGTTCTTAAATAAAAAATTCAGGATGTTTTCCTACTGGGAGGGTTTGCTGCAGCCCATAGCCATCAACATGTGCTGGGTTATTTCTTTAACACATTTACTGCCCAGGAGATAATAAACCATCCTGAAAGATAATAAACCATCCTGAAAGATAATAAACCATCCTAAAATTAGGAGTGAGACCTAAAAACCCTCCTCAAACACTTCTCCTCGTTTGCTGGATGAATTCTAAGCCAGTCTCTCCAGCCTCTCCGTGCCAGAAGGAGCAGGTTAAGTTGACTCTGCTCCTCTTCCAGCTCACTCAGGATTTAGGGATTTTTTTTTTTTAGTTTGCTTTGACTCGGATGGTGGAACGTGGAAACCGGGAACAGCAGCGTCTGGGCTTGGAGTAGCATTTTTTGGCAGCCACGACTGTCTTTTGCAATTTATTGCCGGCTGAGGCGAGGGATACAGTGAAAGTTCTGGAAACTGGGAATAGTGATGAGATTTCACAGCAGAACTGCAGGATAGAGGGGGGGGAGAAAGGCTGTAGGAAGCAAAATAGCTCTGGAACAAGCCTTTATTTTATTAATTGTTTGGTTCTGGAGCCAGAACCTGGCACTCACAGCTCTGAAAAACTCCTTCTCCCTCTCCAAAGGCAAATTAATGAGGTCTCTGCGTCTGTCTGGGCTTGTGGTCTGGCTTAATCAGGGCAAAGTTTCAGGGCTGCAGCCCCTCAGTGGGTGTTTCTTCCCTCCCTTGAACAAACAAACAAACAAAAATCTTGTTCTTCCCTTTGATCTGCTGATTTGCCAATAAAATTAGGCAGGACTCAGGGAGCTAATTGCCTGCAAATTGGAGCACCAGGAGATGGAGCAGCCAGAAGCTGCCCATTCCTCGACCAGTAAAAGCCTAAAACCCCCTGGGGTTAGGACTTAAAGCTGTCAAATTGAACAGAGAATTCCATTTGCTCCTAAAAATGGGGGTCAAGAGGTATTTTAGTGCCAGCAATCCAATGTAAATGGCACGATGTTCAGAGCTGGCCCAGCTTTGGATGTGCCTCTTGTCACACTTCACTTGGAGAGGAGCTGCAATACATGTCCCTTATATTCCATAGATTTAGCTCCTGTAAATATGTCCCTGTATGTGCCTGGTGTTGCTGCAGAGAGTTGGGATGTTTCTCTCTCCCCTGCAAGCCAAAATCATAGAATTCCAGAATGTTTTGGGTTGGAAGGGACCTTAAAGCCCATCTCATTCCAACCCCCTGCCATGGGCAGGGACACTTTCCACTATCCCAGGTTGCTCCAAGCCCCATCCAGCCTGGCCCGAAATGCTTCAAGGGTAGCCACAGCTTCTCTGGGCAACCTGTGCCAGGGCCTCCCTACCCTCACAGGGAAGAATTCCTTCCCAATATCTCCATATATTATGTCCAGCATCAAAATGCCCTTCCTGCAATTTAAAGGAGCCCCCCCAAAAAATCCAAAGGCAATAAAGATGCATTAAGGCATCTTTGACGAAGGATGGAAAAACCTGCACGTGTGGGATGGCTTGGCTGGAGGCTGGTGACTTCTTCCATAGTGGGAAGCAGCTTTCAAAGGAAATTGTGGTTGTATAGTTTTCCCAGGGCAGGGCTGTGTGTGTGCCAGGGCTTTTGGAGGAGGAGGAAATCCAGCAAGGGCAGGAGGAAGCACCAGATGCCCCAGCTCAGGTGTCCATCAGGAGTGGGAGCAGGGAGCAGGGAGGTTCAGGCAGACAGTTTCTCCCCCACATCCCTGATTTCCTTCTGACCTGAGCAGCCTCCAGCTTGCTTTTGCTTGGAAATGGAAGTGCAGATCCCTGAGGACAAGCAATTGGGGCCATCACATATTTGATCCCTGCAGATGAGAGATCAGCAGCTGTTTCCGGGATGGAAACATGAGAAATGTGTGAGAGGCTGCAGATCCAGCCTTAGAATAAGGTTTATAAATTAGGGAAGGTTAAAAAATTCGAATACTTGGAGCTCTGCAAAGGCCCTGGGCTCGTGGTGGGATGAGCTCAGGGTCCCACCCTGCCAAGTGGTCGCTTTGCTTTGCTGCAGGTTTGCAGGGCCATCAGTTCTCCTGCAGAATCAAGCAAAATCCCATGCTTTCCTTAGAAAAGAAGTGAACCTTTTGGAGTGTGGAATGTTTAAATACAAAACAAGTGCACTCGTGCGTGCGTGTGGCTGACGAGTCCTTGGAAGTGCCGCTTCCCTTTGGAACTCCAGCAAAGTGGTTCCAGTTTCGTGTGGTGGGTGGAGAGGCAGGTTTTGCAGCGGTTCAGGGACGTGTCTGTTTTTGTAACAGAGTTCTCCAGCTCCCCCCACCTTGCCCCAAATTACCTCCATGGGATTGAAGAGCCCAAACTTGGCATTGGAGCTCAACTCGGCAGTGAAAGGATGGCTGAGCCCCCGGGCAGGGACTATCCCAGGGGTGGGGGAATAACCCAGGCTGCTGACAGCAGGTTTCCAGGGGTGAAATAATGAGTTTCCTGGTGCAGCAGCTTGTTTTTAGGAGCTTAAGCCAAGCGTGATGTCCCTCCATGTGTCTGGCAGGCCCAAGAAGCTGACGTTGAAAGGCTACAAGCCCTATTGGTGCACCTTCAAAGATACCTCGATCTCCTGCTATAAAAGCAAAGAGGAATCCAATGGGACTCCTGCTCACCAGATGAACCTGAGAGGTAAGAGAAGAGTGAGGTGAGGGAAGAGAAGCTGCTTTTTATTCCAGTAAGAGGCTGCTCCTCCTGCATCTTGCTTTCCCACTGCTTTATCACCTCGGCGTGGCGTCCCAGGGTTGGGTAAACGTGTTTAAAGGAATGAGGAGACTGGGTTTGATGGTGTGGCACAGACTTGGACTTCTAGACGGTGTGATCCCACAGGGAAGCACCAACAGCTCCCCAGTAGCATGAGGAGACAACTTTCAGAATCATGGAATGGTTTGGGTTGGAAGGGACCCTAAAGACCATCTCATTCCAACCCCCTGCCATGGGCAGAGACACCTTCCACTTGCTCTTCTTTTTGTCATACTTAGTTCAGTCACAATCCCCACGGCAAAAAAAAGAGTTTAAGCTTGGAAGAACAGACCATTCTCCTCCTCTGCTGCCTTAGATTATTTTCCCTCTTCTGCCCGGTGCTGGTTGGGAGCAGCCTCACTGCAAGCCTCGGGTTTTTAAATTCCTACAGTTGCTGGCTTTCCTTGTGTCAAGTTAAACATTCCTGCTCCGGCAGCCACGGAGCTGCAGAGAGAGCTCATTTGTTTTCCCCGTGGAGGCAGGAGCAGATGGGATGCCAAGCGACCTCGGGCTGCTGTCGGAGCGAAGCCCGGCCCGCAGGACCTTTTTGGGAGCTTTTGACAGATCTGCTGTGACGGCACTTTTAAAAAATCTCGGAGGCGGCGTTGAAGCGGCGCCTGGGAGGACTTGGCTGCTTCAGTTCATCACGCTCTGTGTTTATCCAGCCACTTGGAGTTCTCTCCAGACTCCGGGAGCGGGATGCTCACACCTCACCGCTCACTGTAGCAGCCAAAATCATGGAATCACAGACTGGTTTGGGTTGGAAGGGACCTTTAAGACCATCTCATTCCACTCCCCGGCCATGGGCAGGGACACCTTCCACTAGCCCAGGTTGCTCCAAGCTCCAAGACCTGTCCAGCCTGGCCTGGAACACTTCCAGGGATGGGGCATCCCATCCTTGCATAAATAACATAGAGGGGTTTCAGGGTGGGAGTCAACACCCATCTAGTCACCTTTTGTATCCTTTCATAAAAGGAAATATCAGGGAAAGGTTCTTCCCCCAGAGGGTGGTTGGGCACTGAACAGGCTCCCCAGGGCAGTGGGCACAGCCCCAAGGCTGACAGAGCTCAAGGAGGGTTTGGACAACACTCCCAGGGATAGGGTGGGATTGTTGGGGTGTCCTGGGCAGGGTCAGGAGTTGGACTCAGTGATCCTTGTGGATCCCTTCCAACTCAGTATATTCTAGGAAAATTTTGGTGTATTTGCCAGCCATGGGATCCACTCACAAGGCCAGGCAGGATCCACAAGGTTAATTCCATGGGCATACGTTAGCTTTGGCCTTGTTTCTTTCAAATCAGGTCTTGCTTTTTCCCCCTCAATTTTCCCGTCACTTGGAAAAAGAGACATCTGACAATGGGTTTTGTCCCTGCTGTGTGGAGCGTTCATCCCCTGGAAGATGTGGTACAAACATTTGGCAGCACTGAGACCCTCTACTTGGAGGACTTTGCCTTTTCTTTCCCTGTTTTTGCTTTTCCCCCCTCTTTTTCAAGCATAGTTCCTCACCACCCCCCCCATTAAACACTGGCTCCCTCATTGCAGGATGTGAAGTTACCCCTGATGTGAACATCTCTGGTCAGAAGTTTAACATCAAACTCCTGATTCCGGTGGCGGAGGGGATGAATGAAATTTGGCTGCGCTGCGACACCGTAAGTATCGCTTGGACTTGGCCACCTCTTCACCCTTTCCCCACCATCAGCTCATGCTGAGGTGCTGTTAAGTAAAAAACAGGTAGAAAATGCCCTCGCCTGTGTCTGACCTCAGCATTCCAAACACATTCCACCTCCCTCACCTGTGAGCGCGGAGCAGAAAATCATTCCCTGCTCTTCCTTGGCTTTGTCCTGTGGTTTTAGCCTATGCATTGGCTGGATTTCTGGCTGTCCTGGTGCACGTTTGAGTCTTCTAGGGGGCTGGAAGGGGAATGGAGGCTCCCTGGAGTTTTATCTGGGGCGCCTGGTGGTCGCCCCACGGCTCTGACGGGCGCGGGTCTCTGTTTTTGGGGGGGCAGGAGACGCAGTACGCCAGCTGGATGGCCGCCTGCCGCCTGGCCTCCAAGGGCAAGACCATGGCCGACAGCTCCTACGGCATGGAAGTGCAGAACATCCTGTCCTTCCTGAAAATGCAGCATTTGAACCCGGACCCGCAGCTGATCCCCGAGCAGATCAACACCGACATCAACCCCGAGTGCCTGGTCTCCCCTCGCTACCTGAAGAAGTACAAGAACAAGCAGGTACGTGCTGGCCCAGCGCGGCGTTGGCGTTGGCGTTGGCGTTGGCTTTGGTGTTGGTGTGGTCTGGGCTGACCGGGCACGTGTTTTGGCGGTAGCTGGTGTCTAACACGACGTGTTTTTTGGATGTCTTCACTTCCGTGGGGTGCACGTGGTTACTAAAATGAGATGTGACTGACCCGAAGGGTGTGGTTTGGATGCAGCACCTGGGGATGGCACCTACCACCTGAGCCGTGCCGGGTGTTGCGTGATGTGCACGTGCACAGCCCGGGCAGCGGGGAGTCTTTAATTGTAAATATGTTTAAAATTGGGTTACATTTATTTTAAATTAATTTTGGGAGTGGTTTGGCCCCTGCTGATGAGTGATGGTGGAGCGATGGGGTCAGCTGCCCCATCTCTCCCCACAGCTGGACTCAATCCCCGGTACTGGGATTAAAACCCCATTCCCCGCACAGAATCCATGGAGAAATCCCCGGGATCAGCGGAGTTGCAGTTGCTTGCAGTGCTTTATCCACACTTGGCTGAAATGCAGTTTGCATATTTTCTCTCTTTGCTTTTCCACTGCTTCCAAATGCCAGTCCTTGAAACATTGCTTCATTTTTGAGTTGCTGTGACTCGAGCTTGAACTCCACGCTCCATCCCATCCCTGCAGGACAGGGCTGAACTGTTCCACGCTGGAAATCAATGCCTGACTCTCTGAAAGACGTTATATGTCAGAACAGCAGCAAAAAATAAGTAAAGCATTGCTCTGTGGCCTTCTGGTGACTTAAATCCTTCAGCCTCTGGCTGGATGCGATTTCTCCGAGCCCAGAAGAAGGCTGCAAGTCAGAGAAGCAGGAAAAATGTAACTTTTTATTGGCACAGCACGGTGATTTCCTGGCAGTGGAGTTATATTTTATATAGCCCTTATTATTCTTCTGAATAAGCCTTTATATCCACTTGGATGGAGGAGAGGCTGCATAAATATACTGTTTTAACATATATGTGATACTTTCTGGGTTTCCGGTAAAACGGAGGCACCTGGAAAAATATTAGCTTGAAAAACTTGCTTACTGTGCAGGTATCCTGGTTATAAAAAAAAAATCCATGGGATCGTGGGGATGGGCACGAGCCCTCGTCCTGATCCCAGCTGGAACAGCGGCCACGATGGCGATGCTGGTCCCTCATAGACATCAGCTAAACAGCGGATTTAGGATTCTCCTCGTGGCCAGAGGCAAAGCTTGGAGCAGCAGAGGATGTTTGCTGGGAGGAATGAGGGATGGAGGCTGTGGGAATGCAAGGAATTTGACCGCAAGGGTCCCTCCGTGGCCCCGGCACAGGGAAAGAGGAGGAGGAGGAGGAGGAGGAGAAGGAAAAGGAGGAGGTCATGCAGCCCACAAACAGTGCTGGAATGGGAATTGGCAGCGGGCCTTGCTGGAGGGTTTACTAGAAGCTCTTGGTCCTCTCCAGCCCCAAACTCACTCAGTGATGTTTGTCTCCATGTGCCCGTGCGGCAGCGTAGGATTGGCAGGCTGGGTCGGGAAGCACCAAATCCTAAATGCAAATAAACAAAAAACAACCCAAAATAAGCGTTTTCACAGCTCTCAGGTGCCTTTCTGGGGTTTGGTGTCAGAGCCAGCAAGGGCAGACACATCCCTGGGAAGCCCAGCTGATGTTATCCTACATCTGCTTGTTCCCCTGGGCAGCATCCCCATCATTTCTCTGCATATCCCAAATGAAAGGAACTTCTGAGCTCATAGTGAGCTCTTGAGCTTCCTCTGTCAGTGAGCAGCCTGGAGTTTGTTCAGAGATGTGGGGAGGAATGTGAGGACATGAATTCTCTTCCAAGCCAGCAGCTTCACCCTCCCTTTCATCCATCAGCTTGTCCATAGAATCACAGAATCCCCTGAGCTGACCCACAAGAATCATCCAGTCCTACTCCTGGCCCTGCACAGGACACCCCAAAAATCCCACCCTGTCCCTGAGAGCGTTGTCCAAACCCTCCTTGAGCTCTGGCAGCCTTGGGGCCATGACCCTGGGAATCCTGTTCATTGCCCCACCATCCTCTGGGGGAAGAACCTTTTCCTGAGATCCAACAAAAACCATCTCAGGACCAAAACCAATGCCAGGACCCAGCTGGGATCACACCAGTGCTCCGGCAGGGCCAGCACGAGCGGCGGATCTCTGCTCGCTTGTCCCTGCTCACATTCACTTTGGCTGCTTTTCCACCTAAGGAATTGTGCATGTGTTTTGGTTTGGTTTTTTTTTTTTTTTGGCTTGAACTTTGGTTTGCAGTTAATTTACACTTTTTCTTTGCTTTGTTGCCATATTTCTGATTGCTTTTTTTTCTTTCTGCCTCCTTTTCCTTTTTTTTTTCCATTTCGCCTTGCCATCTACAGCCAGGCTATGTAAGAGACTTGGTAAGTGACAGCAACAATAAAATTAAGATACGTTTAAAATAAAACTTTAAAATAATCTAGAACCCCTCTGGTTTAGAGAGCAGCGATGAAAACACTAACAAAACCTACACCCTCCCTGAGAAACCTGGGCCCTGCTTGGTTTTTTTATAGTGGTCCCCAGTGACTTATGCTGCGAAACTGGAAACCCTACACCACAAATTTGCCTTGTTGTTGTTCGCTCGCATCCTGCGCCTTAAAATTCCCTGAGAGCCCGAGCGGCTCTTTTGCCTCCAGACAGCCCAGATCTATATTTGCTTTGATATGTCTGGAGATGGGAAGCTCCACGTTTAGCCGCCGTGGTCGCAGGCTCTGAGCAGTCGGGGCTGAAATAAGACCTTGGGGTAGAAATCGTTGATTATCCGCGTTCGGATCCGCGGCGGCTCCCGAGCTGTTCCCGTTCGCGTGAGGTGCCGCCGAGGTGCCCCCCTTCCCTAAATCCGGTGTGTTGGCCGCCCGCAGATCACGGCACGCATCCTGGAAGCCCACCAGAACGTGGCCCAGATGAGCCTCATCGAGGCCAAGATGCGGTTTATCCAAGCCTGGCAGTCGCTGCCGGAGTTCGGCATCACGCACTTCAACGCAAGGTCGGTGGGGCCGCTGGGCTGGGCAGGAGGAATTTTCCTTAATAAATGTGTGGGGCGTGTTAAAAATCACCGAATCATCATGGAATGGGTTGGGTTGGAAGGGACGTCGCAGATCATCTCGTTCCAACCCCCTGCCACGGGCAGGGACACCCTTGTGCTCATCCTTAGCTGGGGAAGTTGCGCTGGAACTGAAATTAAAAGCATTAATGGCATCGACTTATATAAATTATTTTACAAGTTAACTCAGCTGCTGAATTTGCATTTATCACAGGCTCAATTTTATTAATCCCTCACCCTGTCACAGGTTCCAGGGTGGGAAGAAGGATGAGCTGATCGGCATCGCCTACAACCGGCTGATCCGGATGGACGCCAGCACGGGAGACGCCGTCAAGACCTGGCGCTTCAGCAACATGAAGCAGTGGAACGTGAACTGGGAGATTAAAATGGTGAGATGGCATTTTACAACCTGTCCTCTTCCCTGGCTCCTGTCCCTGAGACAGGCACCACTCCTAGGATCATGGAATCCCAGAATAGTTTGGGTTGGAAGGGATCTGGAGAGGATCTCAAAATGGTTTGGGATCTTGTAGTTCCACCTGCCACGGGCAGGGACACCTTCCACTATCCCAGGTTGCTCCAAGCCCCATCCAACCTGTCCATCAACACTTCCAAGGATCCAGGGGCTGCCACAGCTTCTCTGGGCAACCTGAGAAGTCAGGAATTTCTTCCCAATATCCCATCTAACCATGCCCTCTGTCAGTGGGAAGCCATTCCCCCTTGTCCTGTCACTTCATGCTCATGTCCAAAGTCCCTCTCCAGCTCTCTTGGAGCTCTTTTAAGTACTGGAAGGGGCTCTCAGGTCTCCCTGGAGCCTTCTCTTCTCCAGGCTGAACACCCCCAGCTCTCCCAGCCTGGCTCCAGAGCAGAGGGGCTCCAGCCCTTGGAGCATCTCCATGACATCCTCTGGACTTGCTCCAGCAGCTCCATGTCTTTCTTGAGCTGGACACAGTGCTCCAGGTGTGGATGTTACTATATTGATGTAATACAGTTTTTCCTCCCTCCTCTTCCACCCTCCTTGGAGATCAAGCAGAGCTTGTCCCAGCTGCTGGTGGAGTAGAGTGTGACCCTTAAAATAAAGAAAAAAAACATGAATCTTTCTCTACTGCATCCAGGAATAATTTTCTCTGGTCTCTGAACACCCATTCCAAGGCAGTTAAGTAAAATCAAACCTCAGCATTGATGCTCAGCCTTCATCCTAACCAGTAACATAAATATACAGGGCCTTATCCATACCCAAGTTCCTTTTATGTGCTGTACAGCTCAGGCTTTCATTTAAGTAAGTAGTGAAAAGAAACAGCAGACACTTCCCCAGGCTCTGAGATGGGCTTTTCCCTCACTGTTACGTTTGGATGAACAAATTTTTGGTCTCCTTTTTGGCAGCACACCTAATTAAAATTGCCAGGGATACATGAGGGCTGTTGTCCTGCGGTTTGTGGCTCGTTAAGAGTTGTTGGAAAAATTATTCAGCTTCCCTCTGCCTCAGAGTCATTGTTTTGACCCAGTTGCAAGCCCCAATATCCCAGTTATTCAGCTTGGATACTCTGCTGGGAATCCCCCTCCCTCCCACAGAGCTGTCAGTGATGGGGGGACAAAAAGAGAAGGAGCATCAATAAATGGTTGGTCGGTTCAGTGCCTCCAAAACGAGCTCCCCCAGCCCCCATAAAGTATTTCTCAGGCAAAAATTCAACTTAGAAAACCAGGGAAAACTGGAAAGAAAGCCCAGACTTCAATGGGTCTGTGCCTGGTCTCTGTTTCTCTGGAAGTAAAGAAAATCTGGCCACGTGCCCACCACGGAGAGGTGGAAACATGCTGAGGGATTGTTTCTGAGTCATGGGGGAATAAAAGGTGTAATGGTAATTTAAATAAATAAATGAAGAGGCAAATAAATAGAAAATTAATAAAAATAATAAAAAAGGCAATAAAAAGGTATTTCTGTATCTAAATATTTGACTAACAGTCATCATAGAGTTAGTTATAGGATGTGTAAAGGTGGAAGGAACCCATAATGATCGTTGAGGCCAAATCATCATTTGTAGAATCACAGAATTATGGAATGGTTTGGGTTGGAAGGAGCTTAAAGATCATCCAGTTCCACTCCCTGCCATGGGCAGAGACACCTTCCACTAGACCA